TTCTCTGTCTCCCTCTCTCTCTGCCCCTCCCCTGCTCATGCTCTGTCTCTCTCTCTCTCATTCAGAATAAACAAACATTAAAAAAAAATGTGTAACATTCCTGTAGTCTGAGTCAGGGCTGGGAACTGCAGGTAGTTACTCTGTACAAACTAGCCAATCACTCACCACTTGCCTAAACCCCACATAGGCCCTTTGAGCTCACTTCATAATTGGTCATTTTCAAAGGATTCTCAAAGGTCATGATTGGGTCCCACCAAAAGTAATGGATGCCTCAGAGATACTGAATGGTCAAAACTGTTACCATGGGTGCTGTACAATTATAATTGGTGCTTATGTGATGATGCAAAACGTACAACGTGTGCACTGTAACACCCCCGTCCCTTACCACATAAACACCCTGCTCGCTATTGTTCGGGGCTTCACCTTGCTGCCACTGCACTGGTAGATGAGTGAGCCCCTGCTCGAACTTGTAATAAAGACCCTCATGTACTTGCATGGGTGTCGGCTCCTTGGAGGTCTCTGGGACTCGCGATTCCGGCACAACACCATCATCTTTCTCATTTGCTTCTGAGGAGGACACTGAAACTTACACTTCTTTTGGGTGGCTACGTTTCCCTAGCCTATTTCCTACATAGAAAACTGGGGGCTCGGGGGTCTTTTTACCCTCTCAAACAGTTTCAGTCTTGTTTGGTTCAGGCTATTAGTATTTAAGGCAGTGTCAGTTTTTCTACAACTTAGTGGGTTTTCTATGTATTTTTTTAAATAGTTTATTGGCAAGTTGGTTTCCATATAACACCCAGTGCTCATCCCCACAAGCACCCTCCATGCCCATGGTTTTCTTTTTTTTTTTTTTTTTTAAAGTTTTATTTATTTCTAGGAGAGAGAGAGAGAGACAGCGTGAACAGGGGAGGGTCAGAGAGAGAGGGAGTCACAGACTGAAACAGGCCCCAGGCTCTGAGCTGGCGGTCAGCACAGAGCCCGACGCGGGGCTCGAACCCACGAACCGTGAGATCATGACCTAAGCGAAAGTTGGACGCTTAACCGACTAAGCCACCCAGGCGCCCCAATGCCCATGGTTTTCTATGTATTTGATTCTAGTCCATTCTGTGTCAAAACCACAATTTTTTCAAGACAGGCTTTCCTTTCCAGATTTAATTACTAGCACTTTGGGCATGTCAGGTGACTGCAGGACTATACCTCTAAGCTTTATAGGAGGTTCAAAAGTGACTTTGTAATAGTTTGTAATGTTATTAGCCACACCCCTGATTGGGTCCTTACCCTGAGGCCATGTTTTCCTGCAAGCCACCTAGATTTGGTCTTTGTCTCTCTTGCTGTGATTCAACAACCAACCCCTGGACTTGATCATTGTCCCCAGGCTACATTTTAATTTGAGAATCTTTTTCTGGCTGGAAAGGCTGAAGATTAAAAATTAGTTTTATTTTTTAACCCAGCAATTTCTGGGCTGCTGGCAAATTGTGTTTTACTTTGTTTGGTTCTGAGCATATATCTTTTCTCTTGGTATTTTCCTATATGCATTTAAAGGAAAACAAGTCATTCTTTCAAAATTTTTCTTGGGAACGAGTTTCTCCTCTTTCCCCATCCTTTCATTTGTGCTCACTACTCTGCACGCTTATACCATGCAACCAACCAGTGGGTGGAAAAATCCTAATATTTAGATTTGCGTACATAGAATATCCCATTTGGACCTTAATGAACGTCAAAGTTGTCCTTAACTAAACAACTCTTTCGGAATTCTACTAAGTGACAACAGGAGTTGGCTCAGCCCTAAAAAGAACTTAGAAAATTTTAATTGCACTATGTTTAGAGATCTTGGAACCATACAGAGGAAGAAATAAAAGAGCAGGATTTGGATATTTCCATTTTGGATTTTCAAAATCTTACCTTTGTCCCTTGGAAGGTCCACAGATGCAAATTCTACTGGTCTGGAAGTGTCTGGAAGAGAACTATACCAATTCTTAACCCCAATAAATGTTGGAGTTATGGAATGCCAGCTATTCAGTAGAGGCATTAGATGATAGAATGGTTTGCTTCTATCAAAAGCAATACACAGTTCACTTCAGTTTCATGAATAAAAGGTTCTTGCAAAAAGAGCTAACTGTCGATTTTTTCCACAAAGCCTCTAGATAATTTATGATAGTGCTTAGCTCTCTTAGTGGACATATTAACTACCTGTGGCTCATCACTCTCTACTGCAGAGCCAGGAAGTTCAAGGCTGCAGACACTACAAACTTTTGCAAGTGCAAGGGTGCACTCCCCTCTTTATCACACTGATGGCAACAAATCAAAATGCATAGCCTGTCTCCACTAAATATAGAGCTAAGCTTCTTACCACTGGAAATCCTGCATAAATTCAGCTTCTGGATGAGGCAAACAGGCCAGGACTTCCCAGAATATAGGGCAACAGAGTTGGCTTTGGTGCTTAACTCTCCACAGTCTGTGGATCTAACTGGGGACCCAGCTTCCAGTAGACCCAGCCCTTCCATAGGTTCCTTGAGGCTATAGACTAGCTGAGCTTGGCTCAATTCATTCCAAAGAGGATCAGTCAGCCACTCCTCAAACTAGACAAAGAGGGGGTCTTATTCCAACCCAAAGGCTGAGGCAAAATGTCCTGACATATTTCCTTATAGATCCCATATCAAACTTGGTATAACTAGTGTGCTTAGAATTTAATCTCCCTTGATGGGCAGATACAATTTCCTTATGATGTCCTCCTGTCAGCCTCGCAAGAGGCTCTAGCTATAGAGGCAGGGCAGGGAGTCAGCATAGTGTTTGGTCCTAGCTTCCTGAAAGCAGGTGTACCATCTCAGGTTCTGCTGAAAGAAGCACATTAGTCCTTTAGGCCCAGGAGAGACAGGCAGGGACAGTCAGGAGAGAAATGCTTTTGAGACAACAATCATGGTCATGACTGGCATAGTTTTCAGTGTGTTAAGATTGTTCTCTGTATTTTATGTCTATTAAAACATTTCCTTTCACAGCAACTTCTAGTCTATAGATAGAAAAAACAACCTTGGCTCAGAGAAGTTAAGTGACTTGCCTCAGGTCTCCCAATGAGTAGTTGGCAGCACCAGGACCTGAAGGCAGGCATCGTGTTTGCATAGTCCCACTGCTATGCCCTGGTGCATGCTGTATGGCCTGGCCCTGAACCATGGGGTCTTTACCAGAAGGAAGGGTTTGCCAGCCATGCATGATTCTCAGCCTTGAGGATAGAGATATTAGTTGACTATTCCTCCATCCATTTTCCTGAGCACATTCTATCTGGAAATTTGAAAGTCTGTATTCTCACATGAACAGAGACTCCTCACTGTCCTCTTCTTGGAAAAGGCCTTTTCCCTAAGAGCCTCTTCTTGGAAGGAGACTGAAGTTTCCTCTGCAGACAGAGCCAACCCAAATGTTTGTCCTCAGAACCAATGTGAACTGCCCAAGTGCACAAAGACTTCAGTGGAAATTCTGGACTTTTGCAACTTAGAACATGGCAGAGATGAATTTGGTCTGGAAATTTCAGTGTCTTACCTATGAAATCTGACTTGGGAAAGCACTGGCTGTTCCACGAATAGGAATTAGCTGTAACTGATCTAATTAGTCCACAACCTGGGGGCTTAGATCAAACACTTGAGTTGTGGATAAAGTCTTTCAAATACAATTGTAGTCATTTTATTGTTGATTCTCAGAAGTAACAGGAAAATGGGATCAATTACTTCTTGAGACATTTTGTAGGCTATGCATATAAAATCATAGTGCCGAGACAAAGAGGCAAAGTTTTTTTGGAATGCTATCGAGTAAACTCTGTTAGAAGAAAAAGAGGAAGCCTTAGTTTCCACTGTTTGATACTAATTAGGAGTAAACATGATATATTGAGAGACTAGTCATAGTCACTCTGGTTCATGGCATGGTTCTGAAAGGCAGGCACTGTAAAAGCATGAATAACTTAGAACCTCTACTGAACTCACGCAGTTTGGCACAAACTTGGTATCTGCCCCACGCTTCTAATCTGCACCTATTCTTACCTTCAGTGAATAGCACTGTGCATACAAGAACTCTGGAGTCAACCCCACCTCCCTCTACTGTCACATCCCTATATCCAATTTCAAAATCCTAATAATCTATTGATGTTAATGCATCTGGAAGCCATTCTGCTCTCTCCAAATAGCACCACTATGTTCGGGCTCTCAGAATCTTGCAACTGAACTTCCCAAGCAGCCTCCTAACAGGCCCCCCGGTCTCCAGTGCTCTCTTGCTCACTCCATTCTCTGTGCTGATGCTGGTGTGATCTCTCTGAAATGTAAAGAGTCTAAAACTCTTCACTTGGCCCCTACAGTTACAAGCTCCTTAGCCTGTGTACACAGTGCTACTCATCTGCTGTGGCTACCTTCACACCAGCACGTGGTTATTCTAGCTAATTCAACTAGCAATAGGTCCAAGATACTGAATTCCTTTCTCTTCTTCAAGCTTTGGGGGGTTTTTGTTTTCGTTTTTTTGTTTTTGTATTTTTTTTTCTATGTGTTTGGAATGCCCTTTCCTTGACCCCATACTCCCAGGAGAGAGATAGGCATGGAGAGGGAGCAAGAGCGGGCACTAGAGATGGATGTGCATTATAACACAAGGTAGAAAGATACCCATTGAAACTGTTCCTGGGAATCCCTACGGAGTGGAGTTTCGGGGAAGGTGTTAAGGGAGTGGTATTTTATGATGTACTTTTTTCTTTTCTATATTGCTTAGAAACTTTTTTATTGGGAATATGCTTAACCGAATCTTTTATTTTTCACCACATTTTCCATCCTCACCTCATATTGATACTGATTCAATAGGGAAGCATCCAGGACTATGATCTTCCACAGCCTCCCACCTCCCACTAAATTCTGTTAATCAGTTTGGGGAATCTCAGTTGAAATGATTATTTCCAACATAAGGCAACTGACACCTTTGAGAAAAGCTCCAATTCTATTACACAAATAATAATTGTTTATTATTTCCTTTTATTTTGTAGTAGCTTAATTTCACTACCAATATACATACCTAAGTCTCTACTAAGCTTGAATTATCTGGAAGAACTATAATAGCCTTGACAGCAACCTAAAGAGCCACGTTTGAATAAAGGGCCTAAATAATCTTTGTAAAGCATGTGTTTGTGCAGTAAGTTTCATAAACCATTTTAAAATTAAGGCAAACAAGAAAAAACATCTACAAATACAAATATCAGAGTATCTTCAATGCTAAATTTTTTTTTAAGCCTAAATTTTAACACTAATTAAATACCACCTGATTGGATCTCAAAACAAGGGTTATTCTCTAAGTATAAAATAGAAAGTTAATACAAATAGTAGCTTTGGTATAGCATATACCCATTTTAGGGAACATTTTCAAGTTTTTGACTTTGGGAAAATATAAACATGTAAATGGTTTTATAATTAACTTTTGAAAATATCTATAATACCTTAAAATTCCAACATTAGAGCATCTATTTCTTTAAACTTGTTAGTTATACTTTCAATACATTCTCCAGCTTTTAATTTTATCCCGTCAATTACAAGATAGTCCTCTTCATAGTGGTTTTCAAATGGGCTGCCTGCAGGAACTTCAGAGCTGCATTTAGATAACTGTAAAAATAACCAGACAATTCATCAGAACGTATCAAATTTACTGGAACACCAGGCTTAATTATTTGAACCAAATGTAAAGTAGTCAGTAACTCCACAAGTCACAGCAGTTACCCAAAGTGTTCTGTTATGCTGGTGGTCGAATAACGATCCCCATGTAGAGTATAATGTACAGTAAATGTGTTCATATAAGAATAACTTATTATTCAGGTCTTATTTCTTTCCCCCAACATTATACAATTTTAGTTTTAATATTATGCTTTGGAAAAACATGATCAGTTTCATTCTATGACTTTTCTACATTTGTTTATTTTTATAATCATTCTCATAGGGAATATAACTTAAAACAGTTTGAGTCATACCTTCCATGCCTATCTTCTCACAAGCCTCTGCCTGACTTACAAATAGCGATAGCTTGATCTAGCTTGGTGGGAAGGGACATGAGTAAAAACTATGCAAATATACATAACGACATACAAGATTTATAACTTCAAGTTCATTAAAGGTAGATTAACTTCCATGAAATTAAGAAAAAAAATACATGTAATTTATACAAGTATTTTCATCTAACATATCAAAGAATACCTTTTAATACAAATAATTATTCTGCAAACTCTGTCTTATTTGTATATGGGTTAACTAATTTGTGAATTATTCTGGCAGATTTTATAAAAATCAGATATTAATTTCTTCTTCTTGTTTGTAGAGTTGGGGCATGAAAGCCAATGTTAATATTAGCTAAAGAAGAGCATAATTAGGAAGGTGACCGTGCTGAGGAAAATAATCTCATAAAACATTTCAATGACAAATAGAAAAGAATTTTGATTATCCATGTGTGTATGCTTTCTTTTTATGCTGTTACTCTCACTCATTGGTATAAATGCCTGAGAGTAATCAATCTAAAACCTCATACATGAAATGAAGGATGAAAACACCATCAAATTTACAACTTTGAAAATAGCTTAATCAAATCTGCTCAGTGAATAAACATGCTTAGAACCTTAAAGTTATCAGGTGGCACTTTTGGTGTGTTAGCTTGTAAAAGGCCACTTTCTCCTAGAAACAAAACACAGCTCTAGTTTTAAGTGTTGTTAACTTTGGAAGCCGTATTAATTTTCCCTATTAACTTAAAAAAAAGAAAGAAAGAAAGAAAAAGAAAAGAAAAAGAAAGAAACCCCTGAGGTGATCATTTCTTTTCTTTTAAACTGGAAATTGTCCCAGCTTTGATAGTTGGTTTCATTGCTATTCTCCTCATTTAAAAGTGAACAAGGCCCTAAATATACTGAACCCGGTGTGAATGCCAGACTTACAAAGCTCAGTGTGTAGAATGGCTTATGAACCAGTCTGCAGGAGGCACTCACCTGCCTGCCAGCAAGTTAAAATGGTTAATTTTTACAATTCTTAAGTGGCTTTTGAAAGCATAAAATATTACAAGAATCTAAAACAATAAGCAAGCTCCTGCCTGGTGATATATTAAAACTATGTATTTTACCTTAAGAATAAAAATCCAAAGTAATTTTCTGTTCTATCAAGTTACCAGTTATAATGGTAAAATAGAAGCCAATTCTATGGCTGTAAAAGCTCCAGGACATCTCTATAAAAATCAACCTGGCTGTATTTTTGAGAAGACAAACTGCAAACACTGAAAACACATTGCACAAAACTATATGGTGCTCAAACAAAGCACACGCTCGCTAGAAAAGACTAATTTGTGTATTAATTCTATGTCTATAACATATATGCCACTAATCTACAGATCTTGTTTGACAAAAGGTAAGCTCTATCGAGAGAAAATAAGGTTTTCCAAAAAGGAACTCTAACTGGAAAAATGGCATTCACAACTGGTACAAATTGATATTGCGGTGCTAATTAAAAAACCTATGTTTTTCAGTGTGGTAAGAGTTTTTAGGATTAATTTTATTTTCTTTTAGCATATTGCTCTCTTTCACTGTAAATCTTGTATATTTTGATTTCCAGCTCAGTAAGGAGCTGTTTACGAATCATCATTATTCTTGCTGGAGTTCTGAATGAAATCATGCAATTGGGCAGTCTGCCAAAGTGTGTAAACAACCTTGTCCGTGTACAAATCCACCTTTTCCAGTGTCTGAAAAGAGACAGACTTGGGGTTGGGCAGTTGCTCAACAGGAGAATGTGGGAAAAGAAAGGAAGTAAGGAAGTCTCAGCATTTTGTCTCTCCAGGGACTGCCATTGCCAATTCTCACCTGTAATAACAGCTAACCTTAGGTGTCAGTTACTACGCAAAGTCCTCTTCCTAGCTTGCCTTATTTAACCCACAAAAAAAATCCTCTTGAGCAAGTGATAAGCAACTGTGTCAAATGACAAGTCCTCCCTGGCAGGACAAGGATTGGGACATTGGTATTCTATTCCAGAATAAGTGCTCCCAACCACTCTGCTCTCTTGACTCCAACCACAGTATATATCTAAATGAATGAGTGAGAGAATGAATGAAACCTTAAGGAAGTCATGTGACTTCTTGCTGCCATTTTTCTTCTTATTTGGAGAACAGATGTACTGCCTCGCACAGGTGTCTGCCTTATGACTTATTTTTCTCACACCTACCACACTGCTGCTCTGTATTAATGACTTGGGCTTGTACCCAAATTTTATTTGCACAAACATGGAGCTGATGTGCTGGGCAGTTGGATTATTTATGTTATCACATATAAGAACTGAATAAAGTAAGCATACATGGCCTTCCACAGTCCAACAATGCTACCCAAAAGGAAAAAAAAAAAAAAAAAAGACAAATCTAGTTATGAATGGTGAAACGTATTCCAATGAAAAATTCTACCTCCAGTGTGTTAATAATGAGGTTTGTCCTTACAGAAGGTATCTCTGTGCGTGAACCAGGCAGGACAGATTTCCTAGCCAGCTGCTCTTATCCTGGTCCCCTCTCTCAACTGTCAAGATTGACACCGGTGGAGTTCTCTCTACAGTGGCACCCCATCAACTACTGTGAGCTCCTTCCATTCTTTCTTCATCCCAACCTCAAAGGTCCAAAATACAAAGGGCTCCTCCACTCACAGATTTTGTTCAAAAACTGATAGTTGTATTCTGACTTTTCAATAGGCTACTAGTTTATTATTCACTTCAAGATAATCAAGGGCTCAAATTTGAAAAGGGAAAAATGTTTTCCGTGTAATTAAAAAGTACATCCAGAAACAATTTCTGCCATTTACAGAACCTGAAGTTGCTGTTTAGGCCTGATAAAGACAACCAGTGCTACCTTTCCTCCTGTGTTTCCTTTTTCTCGGTGCTTCTCTTCGGGCCCATCAGGTGCTCCCATGGCCTCTAGTGCCTGCTGCAGCATTTGCTCCAGCTCTTTCAGTAAAACTTCTGTCTCAGAGACAACTAAAACACACCATTAATATAGTAGGGGAAAAAATGCTACATTTTAATTACTTCAATCTAATCCATAATCTTAACCAACTCAAAAGAGAAAATCTAAATGTTATAAGATAAAAAATAAATATTCTGTTAGAGTTCTCACATATGACCTCTGCTTAATGTAAAAAATTAAGGATTTCCAAGTAAATATTTTACAATTATTCCTTTAAAAATGTAGGTGATATATTTGCTACGTATAGATCATAAAAAGCTCACTAGAAGGGTCTTGTGTTTTGTTTTGTTTTGTTTTGAAATCAGGGCCAAACTAAATTGTTTTTTTTATAAACTAGAGGTCAGCAAACTTATCCTGTGAAGGGACAGAGATAAGTTGCAGGCTTTGTGGGCTCTGTCACAATGACTCCATTCTGCTGCTATAGTGCAAACCACACATGTGTACCTAAATAAATGACTGTGACTATGTTCCAATAAAACTTTATTTACAAAAACAAGTGGCCTGAGGGCCACAGTTTGCCATGCCTACAATAAATTATTAAAATTACTGTTTAAAAGTAGAGACCATGTAATTAAGTAATTAGGCTAAACACAGGCTAGTCTATTCCTAATCCAAATACCAACACATCTTGATTGCTTAATATATGTTATAGGTAGTGTTTAAATACCACACTTAAAAATTTGTGTGTGTGTGTGTGTGTGTCTGTGTGTGTGTACTACTGTGACATGAATTCACTGAATTCGCTGAGATAAAATAATATCCCCACAAAAGAAATGAGCTCCTATTAAATAACTCTATAGCCTCAACCACTGATTAATAACATGCAGTTGAATCCCTGACTTAAATGACCATTTTTGATTCAGATAATCTTGCTGAAGTAAAAATCAAGGAAAGGAAGCCATGTGTGGCCTGCTGTCCTGTACAACAGACAGGTGGAGCAACTGAGAAGTCATTCCAAAGGCAACGCGATTCAAAGAGAAAGGCCATGAATACACACCCCATCATTTTCCACTCTGGTGACAAAAACTGGACATACTGCCCCATATTATCCACTATTCTTTGGCAGAATACCAAAGAAACCATACTATGTAGAACATCTAAAAGTTCATGGAACACGAACGCAGACCCATGCAGGCATATGCTTTTGAGTTGACCTAGGAGCAATGGGCATTCTCAGCACAAATTAGGTTTTAATCTAACTGTTGAACATGTTTAAAATTCTTCTAACTAATTATGTTTAGGGGGGTTGCATATGATACATGCATTCCTTTGTGTGTGTATGAACGCGTGCACGCGTGCACGTAGGTATCCTTGGAAACTAAGCATGCTGAAAGGTAAAAAACAAAGATTATTAATGTGAAAAGACTTATGCACTGTTTCTTCCAGTTCAAAAGAATCTATGTTTTATTAGAATCTTCTTTGTTGGTAATTTCCTCTTATCTATTACTCATGAGAAAGAAATTTTAAAATTCTGCTAGAACATTATTAAATAATAGTGTCAAATAAAGTCATGGGAGGTTATGAAATAGAAAATTTCCCCTTTCTTGGTTGTCACTATAGTATTAAAAAACAATTTTTAGTTAATATTTTTTACACCACAGTTTTGTCTACAAAAAATTGTTTTCTGTCAGTACTCATCACTTGCCCCAAGTGCTTTTTTATTCAATCAACAAATATCAATTATGTGCCTACTAAGGGCAAGGGACTCAAGAGTAGGCATAGTCTGACGAGCCATCCTGGCCATCATCTCTTCCTAGCCAATCTTAGGTTTCCTCTTTGGAAGACTTCTTTCAAAACAGTTTGAAAGCAGCTTTTTGATCAGTCATTTGCATACCTTCAGTGCCTATGTTTAAAAAAAAAAAACAAAAACCATAACTGACATGTTAGTTGTGTCTACATAGATATGTGTTCTGTGGTAATTGCTAAAGCATAAGAACACAGACTTTGAATTATTACGTTCTAAAACAACATTATTCAAACTGAGATGGGCGTAAGAATCACCTGGAGAATTTACTTAAAAAAATGAATCCAACTGATGTTTACTGAACCAGAATTTTCTAGAGGAATGTACATTTTTATTGAAGCAATCTTGTTAAAGGGATTAACCTCTCTTTATGATAGATTTCTTACTAGTAACCTGTTATTGAACAATTACTTGCGGTTATCTTCAGACTGATTCTCCAGTCCCATTCACAGATGTTGTGTGTTCCTACTTTACATTCTGAGTCTATGGAAATTGATACTGACATTTAATGTACTGTTGAGAAGATGAATTTGGAGCTATGCTGTAAAGGAAAAATGGCACACAAACATCTTCCTATTTCTAAGGCTAGGCTAAAATACAATCAATTTATGATAATGAATGTCATTGCCAAATGGCATTGTAGGCTCTCTGGTTTCAAGTGATCTGGAATAACTTGTACACTGCCTTTAGATCAAAGGGTAGAGAAAGTAATGGATGACTTCATAAATCAACCAGGGTTCATAACACCAACTTGACTGATGTCAAATTCTGTTTCCAGAGCAATGGGAGGTTTGCTTTTCTAAATAGGTATTCCTATACTGTAAACTGATAGAGTTCAAAAATAATTCTCAAGAAATAGCAGTTACCATAATGTACAAAGTAGGTCATCAAAACTGGCCAATGATATCCTCCAAAGATAGAGACAGAATGAATGCCTTTGCTGATTGCATGACCAATCATCTTCTATCAATACTGATTATCCTGTAGTTTCCCTGACTTGCTTCAATTTGTTGTTTAGAGTAAAGTGGTAGCATTACAGTTATTTCATCACTCGGAAAAAGTTTTTTTTTTAAAAAAGGTAAGAAAAATATATCTCTTATACTGACATCCACACCTGGCTTATAAAAATGAATTTTTATAAAATAATCTGTGTAGTTTTTCCATTCCTGATACGAAATAACTTACTGTTTGTCTCAATAAATCAGTTGCTATTTTAAAAGCCTTCAACGTATATTTATGGGGTTTTCTCCAATCTCTATTTTTCTACTAAATGTTTAAAGAAGCTCTTTATTTCCTTATATAAAGAGGCTACTGGTTAGGTTACCCCAAAGCTGGTGGGTACTGAAAAATACCATCTGAAATAAATTTGCAGGGTCATTTCAATATTGAAATTTTGAAGGCATGCCTACAGAGGAGGTTGAGGAGGAGGAAAAAGTACTTGGTTTTGTCCTGTTATTAAGTAACTACAAACACTCCTCTTGGGTGCTTATAATTTAAACGTAGAGATGAGTAAACCACAAGTTGGAATGTAATGAAGAAGAGAGCACCATTCCTGGAGACACAAACAGAAATAGGAGGCAAGGGGCTTCCTAGGAAAGGGGCATGTGGGCCAACCCCATCTTTTACCCTACAGGCTAAAGCTAACTCCAAACCAAGAGTACATGGGCAATGTTTGTCCTGAGCAGCAAGAAATCAAGGACAGAAATCCCTGTCCCCCTTCTACCTCCCAGGCCCAGCCCCAGCCCCTAAGGCCTTCGTGCTCCCCTGGGGCTCACCCCATGATCCAGACCTTTCCTAGATTAACCATCCTTTTCCATGTTAATCTGTCTTAGGTGGCTCATGTACACATCCTTTGCTAATTTGATAATGAATGTCACAGATTTTTAGTTGGTCCTGGGTAATATGCCAATCTTTTTTTTATGTAAACTTTTGTAGACTGTTTACTACCCAAAAGCAAAGGAGGTATTTACTAATATAAACCAATGATACAACAAAACAAAGATCAAAAGAAGTCGAAACCCAACTCATTAGGGGGGAAATGAAGGGCAATAATGAGATTTTAACAGTGCTTAGATCAACTACCAGTGCTGTACCCAACCCCTCTATATTTTGCTTTAAGTTTCCTGGTACTCAGAGCAACCAAGGAAACAGCTGCACACTTTGATTAATTTTAAGAAGATACATGACTAGGGCGCCTGGATGGCCCAGTCAGTTAAGCATCTGATTTCAGCTCAGGTCATGATCTCATGGTTCGTGTGTTCGAGCTCTGCATCGGGCTCTGCACAGATAGCTCAAAGCCTGGAGCCTGCTTTGGATTCTGTGTCTCCCTCTCTCTCTATCCCTCCCCTATTCATGCTCTCTCTCTCTCTTAAAATAAATAAACAATTTAAAAAAAGAAGACACATGACTGAGAAAAACCATATAACCTCTTAAGTGCTTCAGTTTCCCCATAGATAAAATGGGGGATATAATAATATCTACCTGTTTACCTTATATAGCTCTTATGAGGGCTAAATAAATTCATATATATGCAGTGCTTAGAACGGTGAAGACAGTAATTGTTACAGGTGTTGGCATTTTATTATTTCATCATCATAGATGAATTTTCTTGTCCCCAAACACTGAAAAAAAATGAGTTATAGGGACAATACAAATATAATACATAATATTCCTGGTACTAATTTCCCCCAAAACATAAATATGCTCCACAAATAGTTATTTCTTAGATTAAATCTAATAGTCATGGGCATAGTTTAAAATACTTAATGATTTCTATTAATTTTCTATTAATTTTTCTACTAATTTCCAGAAATCCTCTCCTTGTTTGGATAAGAGGGCTTCTACTGCACGTCTTTATTACAGATGAAATAACTGATACTTGACCAAGTAAAGTAGCTACTTAATCAGCTCTCCTCCTGATCTCTAACTAAAGGACAGAGAAAAGAAATGGGTAGAGCTTAAAACCTAGAAAAGAACAGCAAATCTGGGTAGCAGGCTGCTGGGAGACTTCAGCATTTGGGAGTATAAGGAAAGTGTCTCCAAAAAAATGAGGTAGACATTCAAGAAGAAGATGGTAGAATTTTCACTTGATCAAGGACTGATCCTACCTCAGGCTAAGAAGAAAAGGAATGGTATAAGAGACTTAGATCAAGGGATCCATGGAAATATGGGTAGGGATTAAAAACTGAGGAGGGTTAATCTACCCAAGAAGAAACACTCAAGAAGTAGTCAGCTCTTGCAAAGAGCATAGTAAATTAATGTTTCTGTTTTTTAGTTGTTCAAAATGAGATGAAGGAGTAAGACACAGATCAGGTTTATGGTCTGAACAATTAACTATTGAGACTTGAAAAGCCATACAGAATATGAAACTCCTAAAAGGATGTCAGTGGATAAGTAATGGAAATATATTCACTCATTTACATAGAAGAGTGATTTCTAGTCAATGGAGTCCTGGCTGCGATGGGTTTCTTCTGAGGTGGCCCATGTGAGTCGGAGGGGAAAGGAGCCCAGCACTGGGGCCCTCAGCGGCAGTGCCAAGGTCTCCTACTGGGAACTCAGTCCAGGGATAAGCAGATGTTTGCCTTTCCACAGCAATATTTGAACTATTCATGGGAGGCAAAGGGACACCTTAGCCAAGAAAAGGCACCTGAGTTAGCAGGAAAGCAGCAGCAGAATAAATTTAAGAAGAGATAGAAACAACAGAATTTTGTGGTGGTTTAGGATGGGGACAAAAGGATTTAAAAAACATAACAACTCTGTCCTTCTTCTGACTGCTTTCCTTTAATAAGGCTAAAAATGAATAACTTATTTAGCGAGTTGAAAGGCAGTGCCATAGGACCTGGGGGTGGCCATAAAGGAGAAGGGATATGGCGCGGATAACTTCTTGGGGTTTAATGGGCTTTGAAACCTCTTTCCATGGCTGCCAAAGTTCCATCTTGCCAACAAGCATTTGCCTACTTTTCAAGACTAACAAAAGTGGAGGAAGAGTAAAGTGGTTTTGGGAACTAAAACTTTCTCCCTGTGTTCTACATTCACCCTACTGCGTTCTAATACTAATGGCAATTAATTCAGCTGGAAGCCCCAAGCTGCTGCTTTTCTTCTTTTTCTCCCTTTGGCACCCGGAGGACTCCAATACTTTTGGAATGGAGAGGTTTGGATTTTAATGTATTGATGTAGGTATTTCCTCCCACAACTGGTGGTGCTTTATTTTTAAAAGCAATTAAATACATGACAGAGCCAAATCTAATTCAAGAGAATAGAAACCTAAAGACAACTGAAAATACCTAGTATGAAAATCAATACCAAAAATGACTCACTAATATTTCTCTTATATGTATATATATACTATACATACAACAATTTTTCTTCTTCAAAGAACTATGACTACATTTGGTAGAATTAAATAGAGGTAGAAGAACCAGAAGCTGGATAGGCCTTCACATACCCATGTTTTCCTTTGATATGGCATCATCTGAACAAATATTTTCAAAAGAGCATTTTAAAAAAGCTTTCCTAGAAAAAGAATTTGACAGATTTAGTTGCAAAAGATCAATTGCATATTTTTAAAAGGTCATTTATGTATATTCATTGATAAGTGTAAATTATGAATATATTTATTTATCTTGAGGTGATTTTCCTTGGTTGTTTTATACAGTATGGTAGCATGATACACTGAAAAACCAAAGAGGAATAATATTGATCTGTGCCCTCACTAGGTGAAGAGCACTAATGATCTACCAAGTACCTTACATAGGCTTTTTTATGTAATCCTCCCCACTCACCCCAAACCTACTAAGTAATTGCTACTCTCATTTTATAAAGAAACTGAGGCTCTGTGAAATTGAGAAATTTGACAATGTAGGTAATGGTTGAACACGACAGAGCTAAATTCTCAGACTGCAAAATCCATGCTTTTTCCACTATACTGTGTCACTGATTTAGAGTCAGAAAACATTTCTTCAAATGTGTTTTCTCTAACCATAAGATCTTGAGAAAGCCACTTAATTTTTATGTCATAAATTTTTCATCTTTTAAATGGAGATGATTATGATATACCTCCTACCTATTCGATGGGGTTACTGTGAAATGTAACTTAGATAAGGCAGTAAGTCTTTTTAAAAATTTAATTATTCATCCTCTGAAAAAGGACAAAAAATAAGAAAAGGACTATCACATCAGAGCCACTCTTTGTCTTTGAGGAGGACTCCTTTTACTACAGCACTATCATTCATCAACAAACATAAGTAAATGAACTGTATGGTTGGTTCAGTGATAAACACGAAAACTTGTCATCAGTGGCTTATCAGTTCATCATAAAGGCCTGTTTCTGGTTTGCACTATTTTAAACTAAACACCTGCTTCTCATCTGGTTGCTCACATGATATTAATCTTACACAGTTCTGGTTCAACATATTATATAAACATAAAACTTTCTTCATACTTCTAAGAATACTACTTTAATTCTTTTAGAAAATTTTAATGCTTCCCTAGAGTAACAGAATCAAGAATCAGGGGGAAATGTCATAATAATTAAATCCATTATATATATTTCAATTTCATCATAATGCTTATCAATTAAAAAAAAAAACATACCTTTCTCTTCTTATAAATTTGGGTTTCTTCTTTTCAGTAGTGTCTCCAGAAGTTTGCATCTATAGCAACAAAAAGATGAATTAGCTCAAATGAGACTAGATGAGTTCAGTAAGATAATGAGTCCTATATGGTCCAAGTAATTTAGTCCAGAAGAAACGCTCTGACACATAGGTATCAACTACACCTGTAACTCTAAGTCAACCACTTCATAGTCACTACAATTACACCAACCTACAATTACAATTACTACACTACAAATACACTTCCAGGAATGAGTATGAATGCCCATCTCCCATATCTACTTCTCTTCCTCACTTCACAGACACATAATAATACTAAGTAAAACAATCTTTAAGTTTTCATACATATATGACCTTTAAAGAAAGAAAAATAGGGGCGCCAGGGTGGCTCAGTCGGGTAAGCATCCGACTTCGGCTCAGGTCATGATCTCAGGGTTCGTGGGTTCGAGCCCTGCGTTGGGCTCTGTGCTGACAGCAGAGCCTGGAGTCTGTTTCAGATTCTGTGTCTCCCTTTCTCTCTGACCCTCCCCTGCTCACACTGTCTCTACCTCTCTTTCAAAAATAAATAAAACATTAAAAAAAATAAAGAAAAATAACTATTTAGATGCCAGAAACATATGGAATGCAAAACTATATAGATAAGAACTGACATGGTGTAGGCCTAGTAAACCTGTACCCTAGAATAGGGCCAAAAGGGCTTGGGATTTTAATGTCTAAGCAAAGATGAGATGAAGGATGTGGAGAAATTGGAATCTCCATACATTGTTGGCGGGAACGTGAAATGGTGGAGCTGCCCTGGAATACAAGTTGATAGTTCTTCAAGATGCTAAACGTAGAATTACTATGTGATTCAGCAATTCCACTCCTGGGTATGTACCCAAAAGAAATGAAAATATTATGTCCATACAAGAAATTGTATATAAATATTCACAGCAGCATTATTCATAATAGTCAAAAAGTAGAAACAACCCATCAAAGGATATATAATATGTAATCTATCCATACAATGGAATGTTATTTAACCTTTAAAAACAATGACTAATTATACTGACAAATACTAAACGTGGGTGAATCTTGAAACCATTAAACTTAGCGAAAAGTGAAAAAAAGTCAGACACAAAGACCACATGTTGTGGGATTCCATTTATCCAAAATGTCCAAAGGGAGGTAAATCCATGGGGAAAGAGATAAATCAGTAGTTTCCAGAGACTAGGAAAAGGTGGGAAATAGGCAGTGGGTATGAGCTTTCCTTTTAGAGTGATGAAAAAATTTTCTAAAATTATAAAGTGGCCTTGGTTGCAGAACTATGATTATACTAAAAACCACTGAACTGTATACTTTAAAAGAGGGAACAAATTACATCTCAATAAAGGTATAGTTTTTTTTAAACATTTGGTGACAAGAAAAAATGGAAAGCAAAGAGATAGACTATATCAATAACAACAAAAGGAATCAAATGTAGCAATATTACTGTTAGAAGATAGCATAATCAGAGATTTAAAAAGTTATCACCTAATGCAAAAAGAAAGAATCCACCCAGAAAGTACAACAGTCCTGACCTGTATATACCTAAAATCTTAGCCTTAAAATATATAAAGCAAAACAGAAAAGAAGTACAAGTAGAAACCGACAGATAGTTAAAATGGGATATTTTAATTTACTTCTCATAAAAAGCTTATAAAGCAAAAACAATTAGCAAAGAAACAGAAGGGTTCAACAATACAAATAATAAGTTTAATCTAATAAACACATATCAAAACTGAAACTGAATAATTAACGAATACATATTGTTTTCAAGCCTGAAACATTTACAAATTTGACTACCTCCCAGGTCACAAAGGCAGCCTCAAGAATACTGGAGTAACCACTATTTCAGAGACCATATTCACTGACTAAAATGCATTAAAATGAGAAATCAAAACCCAAAAGACAGCTGAATAAAATTTGTAATCAATTCATAGATGTAGAAGAATTTATACTGTCCCATAAACTTTTCTGTGGTAAGAGTTATGATCTATGTCATTTAGATCAGAGCTCTTGTGTCATATTTTAGTTTCTGGTATATGTGACTTAGCTTCTCACTGGGTAATACATTTGTCTCCATGCCATGCCTTGCATTCCATAGGTGCACATGAAGTGTTCGTGGAATAAATGAATGAATAAGTGTTCAGAGAGAGCTACAATAGACACAAATATCACAAGGAAAATACAGTGTTAGTGTTCTTGACCATTCTGTACTGTCATGTTTGTCAATTTAGGCTTTTAATGAATTCATACAATTCACCCTCATCTCCTAAGACAGAACCTCAATGCCACTTTCACCTCTAAGTTGGTTAGCTTCTTTTGTCTTTTCACTTTTACCTGCTGAAGTGAGCAGTGTCTCAGCCTATTTTGTCTAAATCTTTCATAGTTACACTGTTCTTAATTTTACTGATCTTGAATTAAGCATTCACACTTCAAGGGTGGGAACATTTTTTTTTAACATACTAAATGTTTAGCAGCTAGAAGAGTGCCATTCATATTGTTCTGTTCAAAAGCATTAACTATAATGAGATGGAGGTTGAATTTAATAACTCTCAAGGCTTTATTAAACAGCTTAAATACCTTAATAATCATTCAAGGGAAGTTTGTATGAAACACCCAGGGAATTCATATTATTATGATCCTAAAAAATAAGTGGGTTTTGTTTTGTGATCTTCAACCTCAAGTTAATATTCAAATATTTTTTCCAGCATTGTTTTATATACATATGAAAATAAATAAGGTAAAAAAGAATATGCAACTAGATTGCCTAAATCATTGATCTACATCTCTAAAGACAATGTAGAGCTATTATTTCTATTTCATTATTAAGGATCAGCTAAAATTATGTGCATATTTGAGTTTAAAGTGAAAGGGTTGTTACAAGGAGATATAAGATTAAGGTAACAAAGTACAAACTACTTCATAGGTATTAATATAAAGAAATACTGTTAAATAGCTACCATAAATCAGGAAGATTTCTGTTAGAGATAATAAATTCCTTCCTACTTTGTTAAATATTCCACAGCAGCCAAAATGAACTAGTCAGTATTGCCAAATGCCCTGTGCTTTCCTGCTCCAAGCCTGTGATAAAATATGATGTGATGGAGAAGAACACTAAATTTGGAATGACAGGATCACAGTTTGAATTTAATCCCTGGCACTTATTACTTGTATCACTTTTGGTAACCCAATGACCACTGGAATATCTAGCAAGAACCTGGTATGAGGTCAACACCTAATAAATATTTTCCAACTAAATGATCATTCTGCATTTCAGGATATTCTTTTACAATTACTGCTAAAAAAAATAATAACTACCTCAGAGCATTTGAGGGTCAGATAAAATTAAATAACATTCCAGAAAGTATCTAACCATACTCAACAATTAGTCAATGTTCAGTCATTATGTAACATGTTAGACTAGTCCACTGGGCTAGTGTCAGAATTCTATCCTTTTTCCTTAGAGCATATGACAGATGGAACTTAGCACTTTGGTATGGTTGGATTTATGGACCATTAGTTTCCCAAGGTTGCCATAATAAACTACCACGAACTTGGTAAAGCATCAGAAATTGATTTTGTTACAGGTCTGTAAGATATAAGTCTGTCTCTTATGAACAGGCTCTTTATGGTTTTTCAAAAGATGTTTATTTATTTTGGGGGGGCATGAGCAGGGGAAGGGCAGAGAGAGAGAAAAAGACAGAGAGAGAGAGAGAGAGAGAGAGAGAGAGAATCCCAAGCATGCTCCACACTGTCAGCACAGAGCCTGATGTGACACTTAATCCCACGAATCAGGAAATCATGACCTGAACTGAAATCAACAGTCAGATGCCTAATTGATTGAGCCACCCAGGTGGCCCTGGACAAACCCTTAAAGACAATTGTCATTGGGTTAGGCTCCACCTAATCCAGGATGATTTCATATAAGAATCCTTACCTTAACTACATCTGCAAAGATCCTTATTCCAAATAAGTTCACATTCTGAGGTTCCTGGTGGAAATATCTTTTGGGACTACTATTCAACCCACAAGTAGATACTATAATCATTATCTATTCCATCCCTTCCACTTCTCTTCCTATGTTACACTGCTGATTCTCCTATGTTGTTGAGCACCATGCTATTCAGAGTCAGGACCACTATGTGCAGAATCACCAACACCTGAGAGTTTGTTAGACATACAAATGGGGCCCAGAAATCCATATTTAAATAAGCCCTCCAGGTGACTTGTATGGATACTGGAGTTTTTCAGGCATTAGTCTAGCCTACACCCAGCCATACAAATACAATGCTGTATATTGTCATTGGTTATATGGAAATCAAAGCAAGTATTAATTCTTTTCTTATAAGATGTAAAAAAGCCAAGAGCCATATATAAAGAGAGCAAATTCCATTTACTGTGAAAAAAAAATACGTGTGTGTGTGTGTATGTGTGTGTGTGTGTATACATATATATAATGATCATTAGGATTGCTGGCTAGAATGGCAAGTGATAGAATTGTCTTTAATTGCCAAGGTCAGATAATCCATAGAAATTGCATTTACATCAGACTTAAATAATCTTCATAAAGTGACTTGACATTGTCCATTTCCTTACATCACTATTCATCTAAATGAAAATTATTTTATTTTTAAAAAGAACAAGTTTGTTAGCTGTGTTAAATCCAGGGGCATGACATTTTGATTCATCATTTTTTGCTCATAGAAGTCATAGATATGTTCTGTAACCTTCCATTGAGAGTAATTATCAGTCAGTGATCACTAAAGAGCTGTCTACTTTGACAGAATTTCCAAACATGGATCTGTGTCTTGAATAATGTACACAAACTCCTTGTCAAAAGTTATTATATAGGAGGAAATGCCAATATTCTCATTTCCCTTTGGAAAATCTATTGGGAAAATATGCTTGGAATAAGGATGACAACCAGTTTTATGCAGCATTGTAAATGATGGTTATTACTTAATCTGAGTATCTGGAGAGTACAAATAATAAAGTTAAGTCTTCGGACCTAGATA